CGTTGCTCCCCAATATCCCCACTTTCCCCCCCCCCCCCCGTCTTCAGAAGAGCAGACATGGAGCCCTGCCATGTTTGGAGCCCTCTCATATTTATGTGCCCACCAACTGACTTGGTTGGCTGGGGGGAAGTCAGATCTTGCATGGACACTTGACTGCAATCAAAGATCTATGTGCAGCTTTACCTCAACCAGTGTTTACTTAGTGATGTATAGGTGGAAAATACAGTTAGATAAGGAACTTTATGTAACTTAATTTTTGGATTTAAAAAGGTAAAATGTCAGTAATTGGCCAACAAGAAAAAAATAAATATTAATATTACCTACTGAGAGATTAAAATATAACCCAAAATCCCTTGTAGTTAGTAAAAAGCAAAATTTGTTTTTTTTAATCAGAGATTAATTTATTGAAATTGACAGTGCCATAAAATGGGATGAGATTTGGATTCAGGTCGGACCTAGGTTAGAGGCGAGGCCAGGCCATTCAACATACAAATAGTTCGGTGAACTATTTAGCCCAGTTTGGTCAATGACATAACCCAGGATCCCCAGCACTGTGTTTACATTACTGCAGCACTGGCATCTGTCATTTAGTGATGAGAATGTGGCAGAGAAACATGTCAGGCTGCAGACCATGGTGACTGATGAGAATGACATCATTGGATACCTTGATTAATGATGGATTTGCATCGCTGGACAACATGATTGACATGGATTTACATCGGGGGACATTAGTGACATTTTTGTATTTTTATATTATGTCATTAAAGGTCTTTGTCACAATGTGGGTGTGTATACTGCTTTTAACTCTTTGTAGAAATGGGTAAGTGGTGCTAATGTACCCCATGTACTACTTCCCCCGTCAGGGACAGGATATCTGGGAGCCCCCTTAATAGAAAGGGGCTTCCAGATTCTGCTGCAAGTACCCCCACAAACCCCCCACATTCTTTTTGGGGGATCAGATGTGGGGAAGAGGCCCTGGTCCCTCAACAGGGGAGCAAGGTGTCTAGTAAGAGGGGTGCCAACCCCTCCCCCCCCTTGCAAGATACCCATCCGGTCTTGATAGGCATGTGGCCTTGTCTGGTTTAGGAAGGAAATGGGAGGCATACACTCGCTTTCCGGGCTATCCAGACTGCATGCCTGGATAAGGGCTTGTTTAGAATTTTAAGAGGAACCCCATGCCTTCTTTTTAACTGTCACTTTTAAAATACTACATTCTGCTGTTTCCTAACACCATATCCAAGCATGCTATTTAAAGGTTTTCTGTACCTTAACGTTGCCCTTTAAGCCACATGAAAAGACCTTCTCCCTGCTGAGTGGTGTTTTTTGCATTGGTACATATCCCCCCATGGCAGTGTCCAGCTACTCATGTTATTTTTTTCAACAATGGCTTGCCTATTAGCCATTGAAAAGGCAAGAAAAAATAGCTAATTTTACCTGCCATAGACTTCGGTGGGTTTGATGTTAAGTACAGGGTTTGCAGAAACCTAAACTGGGCATATTCATTCATCCATAGTATTCAAGTGTGTGTACAGCCAAAACTGTTTTTTGTTTTGTTTTGTTTTGGATAGAGTATGTTAACTCTAAACCTGCCTGTTATATATTCTGATGTAGGTGTACCATTAGGGAAATTTCCCTTCACTTTCTGCTACAGAAAGATTACAGGAAGTTAGAGCAAGTCTCTGAAAGTGAGGACATGTCTCCTTTTAGACAAATTCCCTCTCCAGAACTGGTGACCTCATTGGAAAAATGTTTGATTTCCTCTAATTTTTTCCCAGTGACAATGGTCACCCATAGAAATAGAGAATCTTACCAACACTTACGCAGACTGAAATAGAAACTTGACAGACAGTCTAACCTCTCTACCCACCATCCAAAACTAAAGAAAAGTTTTTCCCATAGATGCACTGTAATTACATTACTTGATATGCTAAAAACATGATGCTGAAATAGTACAGCTGGATGTATATAATTTGTTTTCATGTGACAATTCGGGAAAGTGTTCAGTTTTCCTTAATAAAACCCACAGAAGGACCTTCAAAATCTTTGATAACCTGCAAAGTCCTAAGGCACATTAAAATGAAATGCCTTTCAGTACAAGGCTTTTATTTGTCCCCAAGCCAAAACGACTTTTCTTAGTAGAAGACAAAATGATTTAATGTTTTAGATTCACAATTGATTTTAATTACTTTTGGACTCCCACATTTATTCCTGGGAGTGTCTGTGCTAAGAGCATTGGTGGAACATTTCTAATATGTCACACAGCTTTATACATGTTTTTGTGTAAAACTACACAGTTTGAAATTGTCATCCTCTGTCTAAAGCATATACAGGTTAAATATATGTAAACCCAACAACAGAAATGCAATATGTTCCAGCTTACCAGACCTTAGCC